ATAATAAATATAAAAAAATCTATGTTAAAAAACAGTAATTTTGAACATACAAGTAGTCTTTGTCTTACAATATGTTCAGACTACAACATAATAAACTTACATCCTTTTTTGGTTTGTGGATGGTGCTTTATACCATTAGTAATACTACTTAACAGTGCTGCACAAAATTTAATGTCATTATCCTCAACTTTTTACTCACAGGTGTTTAAGGATTGGATTATAAAGATAATTATAATAAAAGGCAATAATATTGAAAACTGAAATTAAAACAACCTTCAACTTACATCAGAACAGACTTACTCTGACTTAAAGTGGAGTTCTTAGAATGGAACCTCATCATAAGTCAGTACATATAAACACGATAAAATCTTTCCACAGATGTAAAGAGCCTTTTTCAGAGTGTAGAATGTTATCCTTCATATGTACTTAAAGAATTATTCTGAGCCTAAATAAGTAGATAGGAATTTTAATGATAATTAATTAAACTAATATAGACACTGTTTTGTTTTTGAGAAGAAATGGTATTTCTCAACTGATTAGGTGACTTATATGTCCTATCCTGTGAATAGATAGGTTCAAAACTATTTTCAGCACTACTTTGGAGGATAATTTTGTCTTTATTACAGTTAATTTCATGGGTGGGAGAGCAAAATCTAAATGGATGTACTGTTTTGAGTACCAGCGTGAAGTGGAAATTTCCCCAACAGTGTTCGGATACATTACAGGAGCTGAAAAATGAGAACTAAGCAAGAACATGTGTTCCCTCGAGGCCCTAGACATGCACACCCTTTTGGTTTCCCTTTTCTTTTGTACCCTCTTTTTTTTTCCTTCTTCACAATAAAAGGTTTCAACAGCTTTCCTTTTATTTTGAGGGTTTTTAAAATTTTTTAATTAATTGATTTTAATTTCCATTCATTCATTGTTATACTTTTCTCCCTGCCCACCCATCCCCCAATTAGCATTTCTCTTTGAAAAGTTAAAAAAAAAATTCTTTCATTGTTATTCAAACTCTCCCCCCAAGTCCATTCCACTATGCTACCTTCATTCTGGACTCCTGTCATAACAATAATATCTAATCATATATCTCATATATCCCTTTTAAACAGTTCTCTCCCTCATCTGTTTCAATGCATTATATGTTATTTATCCCTTTTCTCAGTCTCCCTCCAACCTCTATGTCAGTCCTCTTTTATAACAGTGGCATAATGCAGTATTTGTCTTTTTGTGACTGAGATATTTCACTCAGCATGATGTCCTCCAGGGTCACCCATTTTGTGTAATATTTCATGAGTTCCTTATTTTTCAGTGCCACATAGTATTCCATTATGTGAATATACCACAGCTTCTCTATCCATCCATTCATTTGTTGATGGGCACTTGAGTTGTTTCCAACTCTTTGCTATTGTGAACAAACCAGCAGTAAACATGGGTGTGCATGTATCTGCTTGGGTGATGGTTATATTTTTCTTTAGGGTATATTCCCAGTAGAAGAATTGCTGTGTAAATGGTGTTTCTATTTGCAACTTTTTGAGAAAATGCTATACAGCCTTCCATAGTGGTTGCACCATTTTACACTCCCACCAACTGTGAATAAGGGTTCCAGTTTCTCCACAACCTTGCCAGCATTTGTTGTTTGGTGCTCTGTTAAATTTTGCTATTGTTAGTCGAGTGAGATGATACCTCATTGTTGTTTTGATTTGCATCTGTCTTAGAGCTAGGGGTTTTGAACATTTCTTCATTTTTTTGGTTGCCATCTGAATGTCTTCTTTGGTGAAGTGTCTGTTCATATCCTGTGCCCACTTTTCAATTGGGTTGTTTACCTTTATCTTGTTGTGGTGCTTGAGTATTTTATAAATTCTAGATATAAGTCCCTTATCTGACATGTCATTACCAAATATTTTTCCCCAATCTGTGGCTTCCCTTTTTACCCTGTTGGAGAAGTTTTTGGATGTGCAGAGGGATTTTATTCTTAGAAGGTCCCATTCATCTATTTTATCCTCTCCTGGTTGTAGATTTTTCAGGATGTTTGGAGGTATGTTGTGTATTTTGAGGTTTTAATAATTATTTTAAAAGCAGTTTGTTTTAATTATTCATTTTGGTTCTCAATGTAAGAATGTATCAGGCTTATTTTGATGTATCTTTCCCCATGCTTCTGGAAAAATAAGTATTTGCCTTTTAATATTTTTTTGGTTAGGAAATTCGACGTCTTCATCAGTATGTCAAATTTGCTGTCCAAGATGTGAATGATGTTCTAGACTTGGAGTGGGACCGGCATCTGGAACAAAAGAAAAAACAAAAGTGAGCACAGTTTTTCATGTCCTATGAGTTGGCATAGAAAATGTTACGCTCTTTTTTTTTTTTTTTAAAAACGTACATTTGGTACATTTGGTTGGTATTTTATTTTTCAAAGAAGAGTTCTAAAACATCACACTAAAGACTGATCACTCTATAAAATCTTATTTATGATACGCCAGGTCGGCAGTAGCACCCAGGTTTTCCAAAGTAGCGAGTCATCCTTTTTCTCTGGTCTGTGAAACCTTCTCATTAGCTGCCTTCTGCTTTTGCTGCATGATCGCAGAATCCCTCTGCTTTCTCTGAGAGGTGGTCAGCAGTCCTCTTTTCTTTTTCCTTTACTAATCTCCTGAGTTTTCTTTGTGCTTTTCTGGCAGGCAAGTTCTCTCTGATTTCTATGGGTCATCCTGACCATCCGATAGAGCCTGGAAGAGAGCAACTCGGAAAATCAATAGTTCCTTCAAACACACTAATACTAGAACTTGTAAGAAAGAGTTTAACAACATATATTAAAAAAAATCCAACACTCATTCCCTTTGACCCACCCACTCTAGAAGTTTGCTGTACAGAATTATTAAGCAATACAGTTTATATAAAAGCATTTGTATTAGAACCTCATTTTTGATGGTGAAAAATTGAATTCAGCCTTATTATCCATAAATAGAAGAGTGGCCAAATGGTCCACATTTTTCTTTCTTGCTCCAGAATTAACAGGGTCATTGAACAGCATGTTCTTAGAAAACAAATTATATTACATATGCTGTATCTCTTACATAAAGTATATAAAATCTTGTAACAGTATTTTTAAAATCCAATCAAAAGTACCATGTATAAAATAAGAAAAACTTCAAAACTCATTGCTGTTGAGTCAGAATTGACTCATATCTGACTTCTAAGTGTGTTTTTGGAGGCTGTAAATTGAATGAGAAGAGATTGCCCATCTTTCTCCAGCAGAGGTTTTGGTGAATTTGAACTACCTAAGAGATACTGTCTTTGGGTTAGCAGCACAATATCCTGCAGACTATGCCACACGAAAGCACACTGGGCAGTCTCAATGTGACTGTGGAGATGTGGGAAAGAGATCAAATAAGTCTATCAAAATACTGATAATTTCCTCTGTGAGGTGGGTTTATACACGCACACGCGCTCTCTCCCCATACATTGTCTAAGGGGAGGGTTTTACGCTGCAGAGAATTAAGTACTTGGACATTTGGGCCCTTTTTTCAGACATTTTACAGCTTGTTTCCCTGGTTCTGAATTCAGTTTAACTGAATCTGTGTGTGGTGTTTCCTTGCAAGGGAGATACTGTTTTGATCTGTCAGCATGAATCTTCTACTTGACGGCTGTATTTCTCTGTGCCTAGTAGGTGTTTGGCCTAGTGAATAAGGAGCTGGTTTGTCATTTCAAAGGCAGACAGTTCAAATCCACCAGCTGTTCCTCAAGAATATCTCCTCCTCCTATGAGATATGCAAGCTGTACAAGTTGGCTGTGAGTCAGTTCTGACTCGACAACACATAACACCATAATTAATTAGTAAGCTTTTCAAAAGTACCTGATATCAGTAAAGAAGCCAGATTTTCTTTGTTATGTCTACCCATGGTTTTACTACTCCTAGAATTTTCTATTGACATGGAGGCTGCGACAGTGTATTCAAACATAACAGTTATGAGAATGGCATAGAACTGGTAGTGTGTGTTTCTGTTGTGTACAGAGCCGTTATTAGTTGGAACCTACTTAACAGCATTGATAACAAGAAAAATTATTTCTAAAGACTTCAAATTCTTACATATAAACAATTCCGTTTAAATAACACTTCTCTATTTTAGACCCTCCTTTCAACAGTATGTGTATTTTTCCTGAAATGCTTGTTTTAAATGCTTGTTGAACTACTGTTACCACAAGAGGCAGTTCCTTACCTGGCTCTGCACTATTCAAGGAGGTAATGAATGGGGAAAGAGGAACTAAACCAAAAGTTTTTGTTTAGTGTGAGCATTTTTTATTCCATGATTAGTGCTAAAGAGGCAAAATATACATCTTGACAGAGTGTTGATCTTTGTTTCTTTTTGGTATAGTTTTCCTTTTCAGTTTTTTCCCCCAAATTAATACAATTAGAAAATTTTTAAAAATTATAGTCAAGGTGCTCAGGGATTTATTATAAAAATCAGTAACTTCTTTACTTATTCCTCTCTAATACCTGCTTTCCAGAGGCAATTATAGTTTATCTTTCTTGTATTAGTTCTTTAATGTAGGTTAGCTCCTAAACATTAAATTGTGTGTCTCCCATTTTTTTTTCCTTTTTGTTTTTTTGAGATGAATTTAGAATTTAGTAAGAGAATGCCAAGGCTAATTTTCTACTAAAAATTATACCTAACAAGTCAATAAAAACCTATAGCATATTTGACAATTTCTATTTTATCTGTAGGGAGTTGTGCTGTTAACCTAAAAGCCAAATCTCTCTAGTAGTTTCTACAAGTGCATATAGGAAGAGATCTCCTCCATGTTAGTGTCTACTATTTTTTGACAGTGGTCGGAAGAAATGACTGAGGCTTCTAGTGGATCCCTGCTATTTTGTTTGTTTTCTTTCAGTTACATATAATTTACATACAGAAAAAAACCCCACATATTCCAAGTAGAAATCAAGTGGCTATCCTCTAATATTTATTTCCCTCCTTTCTCACTCCTACCTTGTTTTTTCTGGAAACCCCAGACGTCCACCTGGCTAGTTTGTGCTGTCCTTGGTCACACGCATGTCCTGCGTATTCTAGGCTCCTCTCTCCTCATGAGACTTTCATTCACTTTTTATCATCTAATACTAATAGATGTAGGTTTTATATTGTGGAGGGCTTCCTTTATTGAAAACCTTCATGTTAAATTCTTTTCCTGTTTCCATCAACAGACGCTTGCTTGTACCAGAGCGAGAGACACTTTTTAACACCCTAGCCAACAACCGGGAAATCATTAACCAGCAAAGGAAGAGGTTGAATCAGCTAGTGGACAGTCTCCAGCAACTCCGTCTTTATAATCAGACCTCCCAGTGGAGTCTCCCGTCAGCTGCTCCTCCTGAGAATAGCACTTACAGGTCTGTGAGGAAAATTGACCTGTTGCACTAAGTAAATATGGTTGCATGAATAATTTGTGCTAGTCATAGAAAGGTTCAGATGTAAGTTTGTATTGACTCTCCTGTCTGTCAGCTATGGGGTCTTGGTCAGATTCTTTTACCTTCTTAAGTTTTTATTTTCTTTTTTTAAAAAAAATGAGGAGGACAACTATGTCATGCAATTGTTAAGAGTTGAATTAAGCTTGTTTCACACCACAATTGTGCCTGAAGAAGTAGCTGCTCATTAAATGATAGCAGATTCTACAGTAATGGTAGTAGTAGTATTGCTTGAGGGGAACAGGATGACTTACTGGTCTTCCCTGCCTAGGTTTGTCGTTTTGCCTGAGTGGAAGCTTTCAGTCTCTGGTAGTAATCAAGGCAGTGCTGTGTTTCTGCTTTTAGGGCAGCTGCCTAGGGTTTGTTGGGTTTTTTCCCTTTCCACTGAAGCACCACTGGAGTTGTCTGTGATGTGAAGGTTCTGTATAATGTTGAGTTTGTTGTTCCTGGGTGATTAGATTGAATGTTTCTGCATTGACATTGCTCTCATCATTTGCATTTATATTTGGGATGATAATATGCTTTCCACATCCTCAAATTTTTCAGATCCTACCTTGTTGTTATATAACATTATCCTGTTTCAGTTTTGACAGTGAGCTTGAAAGCCTTCGCAATGCTTTGTTGAAAACCACCATAGAATCTCACACTAAACCCTTGCCCAAAATACCAGGTAAATGCATTTACCTTAGTCTTTTGGCTCTCTTTCTTCTCTTCTCTCTGTTGACATCTTAAGTGCTTACCAAGTCTTAAGTATATATTTATGAGTTTATTAATTTCTTGCAGCTAAATTGTCCCCAGCAAAACAGGCACAATTGAGAAACTTCCTGGCCAAGAGAAAGACTCCACCAGTAAGATCCACTGCTCCAGGTAGTGAAATCTAAACCTCTTTTTTTTTTTTTTTCTTCACATAAACCACAAAGTATTTGCTTGGAGGAGAGAGGGAGTGAAAGTGTATATGTTTTCACCCTGGTCTGAACACTGGAATAAGAAACTGTTTATCTATCTATCTATCTATCTATCTATCTATCTATCTATCTCAGTGAAGCAGCTCAAGGTAGTTCCTTAGGTCTTTTAAACTGTTCATAGTCCTCTTGTTGTTACATCAGTGATTCCCAAGGACTTCTGGGAGGCTGAGCTGACTTTAGAGATTCTAACATTGCTTTAGCCAGGAAGGTTTACTTGTTTTGTATGGGTTTGGAGTAAGATGATATTTGGAAAAAGACTTCTCAAGAAAGAAGTAAAATCCCTACTGATTACAGAATGATTGCTGAAAATAAGCCTTGTAATTGATACAGAACACTTAAAGCTATACTGTTCTCTCAAAACTGGGACATTAGGTTTATACAGCAAAGATTAGAATTTAATTTTTGTTTTTCTTTTTTTAATCACTTTCTAGTATTCTCTTTTTGGAAGCAGGAGTGGTATCCATTTCCTAAACAACATGTCTCTGGAAACTATAAACTTTGATAAATGTTGATAGTTACGAAAAGATGTCAGGCCTTTTGCTCATGGGGTCGTTATGAGTCATGCTCGACTCAATGGCAATCAAAAACAACAGTTGATTTAAAAAATTTGCCATTGAATTATCTTCATAATTGGCTCAGTTTGGGAGTTTTTGGTTGTTTTTTAAAAACATACTTCACTTTAGGGATGTCTGGTGGCCTAATGGCAAGAAGTATTGTTGCCATTTTACTGTCAATGATATTCTTTTGATGAAGTTGTTGTTCTGTGACATTGTGTCAGGACCATCTGGTAGCTGAGAGACTATAAATCATAGGAAAGAGGAGATTGCTCATCTTTCTCCCCTCTAGCAGCTAGCTAGTATATTTGAACCACATGCCTTTGGGTTGGCAGCATACCACCTTACAAACTCAGGCACTAGAGCCCCTTTTAATACAGGGAAATTTCATTTAGAGAATGTTGATAAACATTTTCTTACATAGTTAGTACTTTTTGTTTCCTATTTGAAATCCTCTCTATTTCTAGATGACGAGAAGTAGATCATGTTAGATCTACTTGTTTCCTGGAAGTGATTTTTTTAGGTCCATATATCATAGAATTCATCTGTTATGAGTCCACTTTGGTGATTTTTAGATAACTTACAGACTTCTGCAACTCATACCACATTTTAATTTTAGACTATTTCCTTTACTTCAAAAAGTTTTCTTACATCCAGGCTACCACTTGTCAGCATTCTTTTTCTATAGATTTATGTTTTTACATATAAATGGAATCATTGATGTGTAGTCATTGTTTTCTGGGTTTACTTCTTTTACTAGTTTAAAGAATTTGAAATTTTGTCTATGCTATGTACTATCTATCAGTACATTGTTTCTTTTTATTATTGAGTAATACTCTATTGGTGCTGGAGAAAAGTATTGAAAATATCATGGACTGCTTAAAAGACTAACAGGTCTGTCCTGGAGAGGGTAAAATAAAGCCACTTCTTGGAGGCAAGGATTTTGAGACTCTGTATCGCATACTTGGAGCAGGAAGGACCAGTCTTTGAAGAATGATATGCTTGGAAGGTTTGAGGGACAGTGCAGGAGAGGGAGACCCTAGATGAGATGGATTGACACAGTGACTGGGTGATAAGGGTAGATGTGTCAGAGATTGTAAGATTGGCTCAGGATAGAGCAGGGTTCAGAGCTACTGTACATAGGGTCACTATGAATCAAAGTTGACTCAGCAGCACTTAACAACAACAACAACAGTATTCTATTATTTGGATATATTATACTTTGCTTAGCCCATTTTGAATCATTCTTTGTGTGTGAAGTATGGCGTTGGTGTCATTTTTTCTGTTTATGTATTTTATTGTTTCAGCATTATTTAAAAACCTCTCTTTATTGCTTAACCGGGCCACCTTTGATACCATTGATCTCATACTGGTTGGAAAGTGCTAGTACTGCTTTGTTTTAATGTACCAGTAGTAAATAAAATCTCAATAAATCTAGATTCTGGGTGGATATTGTCTGTTATATTAAGCACTAAGCCACACGTGGCTGTTTAAAGGAAAATGAAATACAGTTCGTTTTTCAGTTGCAGTAACCACATCTCACATGCTCAGTATCATATGTGGCTAGTAGCTACTGTTAAAGGAAATACAAATTTAGAACATTCAGTCATCACAGAAAGTTCTACAGTCTAGAGCAGGGCTTGGCAAACTTTTGCTTAAAGTATCAGATAGTATAATGTTTTAGACTTGCAAGTCATGTGGTTTTGGTTTTTGTTTTTTTTAACTTAATTCATTATTTGTTATACAAAATCCACTATATGGTGGCCACAGCTGGAGCCTAGGTCCTCTTCACAGAGAATCTCTTGTGAATCTTTACAAGATGGTCAGTGAATTCCTGGAAGGGAGACTTAGTGAACATAGTCTCTCTCCATAGATCTGGGTTCAAGTAGCTGTAGGTCTTTTTGTATGTTTGACTTTGCCATTGCAATAGGAAAGTATTTCCATAGACAATATGCAAGTTAAAGCATGCCTGTGGTGGTTGGGTTTTTTTGTTTGTTTGTTTGTTTGTTTTAGAGATGATAAAATGTTTTTCCCCCACATTCAGTTGGATCACCTTTCTTGGGAATGGGAACAGATATGGACCTCTTCCAATCCTGGCGTAGACTGGTGAGCACTACATAGACAGGGAACTGCCAGAAGTTCCAGCAGGATTTAGAAGAGACTGTGACACTAGGAATATCATTGCTGATATCAGATGGATCCTGGCTGAAAGTAAAGACTACAAGAAGAATATCTGTTTGTGCTTTATTATATGACTGTGTGGATCATAACAAGTTGTGGCTGATATTGAGAAGAATGGGAGGCCCAGAGCACTTAATTGTGCTCATGTAGAACCTATACCTGGACCAGGAGTCTGTTGTACAAACAGAGGAGAGGAACACGGCGTGGTTGTATTCTCTCTCCGTACCTATTCAGTCTGTATGCTGAGCAAATTATTTGAGAAGCTGGACTCTATGAAGAGGAGTGTGGCATCAGGAATGGAGGGGGACTCATCAATAACCTACGTTACGCAGATGACACACCCTTGCTGTTGAAAGTAAGGTGGACATGAAGCACTTGTTGCAGAAGATCAAGGAGTGCATCCTTCATTATGAATTGCGTCTCATTTCAAGAAAACAAAGATTCTTACCCCTGGATCATTGGGCAACATCATGGTGGATGGAGAAGAGATTAAAACTGTCAACAGCATCTTGCTTGGATCCACAATTAACACCCTTGGTACCAGCAGTCGGGAAATAAGGCGACTGGCAAAATATGCAGTTAGGGATCTCTCCAGATTATTGAGTAACAATGATGTCATTTTGAAGACTAAGGTGTGTCTGAGTCAGGCCATAGATTGTTTCCCATCACTTGCTGTGTATCTAAGAGCTGGACAATAAATAAGGATGATGCCTTTTAGTTGTGGTTTTGGACTAAATGGCCAAAAGAACAAATGGATATGTCTTAGAAAGGGTGCAGCTGGAGTGCTTTTTGGAGGCAAGAATGATGAGACTTTGCCTTATATACTTTGGGCATGTTGTTAGAGGGGCTATTTCTTGGAGAGGACTGTGATGTTAGGAAAGGTGGAGGATCAGCGAAGGAGAGGAAGACCCTCAACCAGGTGGATTGACTACTGCAGGAGGCTCTTGTATGTCAGGAAGCATGAGGATGGCACAAGATAGAACAAAGATCAGATCTTTTGTTCATAGGGTCACTATGAGTTGTACTCTATAGCACCTAACAACAACAAAATGTTTTTAGTTTTGTTTTTAATTTTTATATTGGTTTGCTTACAAAGTTCATATACATTGTATTTCACACTTGTTTATTTGCACTGTAATTGATAAAATTATTCCAAAAATTAATCACCATTAATCAATCACATATCCCCACTATTACCCTATCTTTCCAGATCCCTTTACCCCCTCTTCCCTCTATTTACCAAATTGTGCAAGCCTATGATATCCCTCCTGCCTATCTTCACCCCTCGGTTCCCCCACCTTGGATTCTCGTATACGTATTACTAGTTTTCTGTTTCTACAATAATGGTCTTATACAGTGTTTGTCCTTATGAGACTGTATTAGTTCACTCAGCATAATGCTTTCCAGTGCCTCTCAAGTTATTCAGTAATTTTAAAAATCTTTACTTCTGAGTGCTGCATCGTATTCCATCATGTGAATGTACCACAATTTCTGTGTCCATTCAATTGTAGTTGAACATTTGACTACTTCCATGTTCTTGTGATTGTGAATAACACTGCTATGAACATTGATATACAGATCTCTATTTGTATTTCAGTTCTCATTTTCTCATGGTATATTCCTAGAATTGGAAATGCTGAGTAATATGGAATTTCTATGTTTAGCTTTTTGAGGAAATGCCAAACTGCCTTCCAGAGTGGTTGTACCATTTTATAATCCCACCAACAGTGTATGAGCGTTCCTATCTCTCCAACATTTATTGCTTGCTGTCCTGTTAAACTTTGCCACTACTACTGTGGTGGGATGGTATCTCATTGTGGTTTTTATTTGCATCTCTAATTGACTGTGATTTTGAGCATTTCTTTTTGTTTCTGTTGACCATCTGAATGTCTTACTCTGAAAATTCTTTCCATGTCTTTTGCCCATTTTGTAATTATGTGATCAGTCTTTTTCTTGTGGAGGCCCTATTGTATTTTATAAATTTTTGTTAGGAGACCCTTGTCTGAGATGGTATTGCCAAATGTTCTTTCCCGATGCAGTAGGTTTTCCTTTGACCCTGGTGGAAACAGTTTTTGATGTGCACAGGGATTTAATCTTTAGAAGATTTCATGAATCAATTTTATCCTCTCCTGGTTATGTATTTCTGACTATATTTTTCAGCCTCTTTATACTATGGGTTAGGCCTTCTAAGCTTGGTCACACTTTCTCTCTTATTTATTTATTCCCCCCCCCCTTATGATCTTTATGGTTTTAGGCTTTACCCCTAGATCTCTGATCCACCTTGAGTTGATTTTTGCATATGATGAGAGGTGTGAATCCTCTTTCAGCCTTCTGTCAGTTGTAGACCAGTTTTGCCAATACCGTATGGTGGAGAAGCTGTCATTTTAAAGCATGCCTGTATTTTAATAAAATTTTGTAAAAACATTCAACAGCCCATGGTCATAGTTTGTGAGTTTCTAATCAAGTATTTTATTTTAGCTTGTCATTATTAATGCAGAAATGTAAAATGTTTTACATTTCATGTTAATAGTACAATTAATCTTGTCAAATTCTTACCCCTTAAAGAAAAGTTGATAATTTGATTAGGATTATAAACAATTTTAAGATAAATTTTCAGTAATTGACATCTATACAATGTTGATCTATCAATTCCTAAACATTGGGGTTTTGAAATACTTATTTGGGCTTTTCTTAATTTCTTGTTTTCTCTTGAAGGCATGCATGTCTTTTGTTAGATTCATTCCTAAGAATGTAATGGGGTTTTTAAAATAATCTTTTAATGGTGGGTGTATTTTTGTAGATTCATTTTATGTCGGATATGGTACATATATATTATATTTTTATTTTTTATCAAGGATAGTCACCATCCTCCCTAAACTTCTTAGTCTTTCTGTGTAAACAGTTATATCATCCTTGGAAGCTATTTGTTTCTACCTTCCAGTCTTTATCTTTTATATCTTTTTCTAGGGTAAGACTGCCAATGTAGTGCCCAGTGAAAGTGGTGAGTGGACATCCGAGCCTTGATCTCAAACAAGATATTTTCTATAGTTCTCCATAAAATGTGAGATTTGCTGTCTTTTCTGTCGATAACCTTAATGAATTTAGAGTTTCTTTTTATTCCTATTTTACTAAGTGATTTTTTTTTGTTTAAATAATTTAATCAAATACCTTCTTTGTATCATGTGATGATTTTCTCCTTCCCCTCCCCCAAGGTAGTTTTCTACTTTTCCTATTCTGAATTTTCCTTAAGCAAAGTAAGATTTTTAAAATTTCAATGGGACCCATCTTCCAACGCCAGGAAAGTAGCTGTGTCCTCCGTCACAGCATAAAACTGCATGTGCTGCAGGCAGCACCATTGACATAGTGAGCAGCATAGGCTCCTGTTGTTTGACGGTGCGCACAACCAGTGAATCTTGAATGATTTACCTTCTTCCATCCAAAGCTAATGAATAAGAAGATGAAAGGAGAAATTGAGAAAACTCCTAGGTTATATCAGACATTGATGGTAACATAATGTGGCCCTCCCTATCAAGTCCATGAAGGTGATGAATCTGAGTTCTTTCTTGTTGCTACTCACTTTCAGCAGCCAGGACCTTAGAGATACTACAGAGAACAATGTGATTAGGCTGAAATCAACTTTGTTGGCTCTCTTGTTACCTAGATACTCTGGGGGAAATTTCCAAGCTCATTTAGGTTGGCAGAACACAATTCTGTGCTGTTAGTATTCAGACTAAGATCCTTTGTTGCCTTGATGTGTATTCCTCATACCTTTTCAAACCATAAGTAGCATGTTGAATCCTTCTCATGCTTCAAATCTCTGGTTTCCCCTTCTGTCAAAACCCTGACTTTGTCCTTTGCATAGTTTTTCAGCTTTTAAAGGCTTATGTACTTTGGGCTCACCTGGATAATCCAAGATAATTTTCCTGCTTTAAGATCAACTGATTTGTAATCACAATTACATTTTCACATTCTCTTTTCCCATATAATGTGACATAGCCATGGTCTTGTTATAAAATTCATGGGGATTAAAATTCTGCCTGGCTTCAAGTTCAGACATATATATCAGAGTGTGTTTGAAATCAGATATATCTGAGTTTGCCTTCTGACTCTGTTGCTTGCCAGCAAATTCCCTAAGCTTTTTAAGCATTACCTATAAAATCAGATAATAGTAATTTCTGATATATAAGGTAATTGTAAAGACTATCAGCTATCTACCATGATAGTCACTAACCAAATATGGCTGGTGAACCCTTGAAATGTGGCTAGTACAACTGAAGAATAGAGATTTTTTATTTACTTACTTTTAATTGTTTTAAGTGACAAGAAGCTGCATAGCAATTTCAAATGTGTGTGGTTCAAATCCACCAGCTACTCCATGGGAGAAGGATGGAACATTTCCTCCTGTGCATTAAGTACCTCAGAAAACTTGCCAGAGGGTCAGTGATGGGTCAGTTCTGACTCAGCAGTACATAACAGCAACAAAATGAAATAGCCACACACCACTTTGTCATTGTTGTTAGATATCATTGAGTCAGTTTCGACACATAACTGTACAGCAGAACACTGTGCAGCCTTACACCATACTCACAGTTGTTGCTATGTTTGAGCTTGTCATTGGAACCCCTGTGTCAATCCATCTCATTGAGGATCTTCCTATTTTGTTGGGATTTCTTTCTCCACAGACTGGTCCTTCCTGATAATATGTCCAAAGATAGTGAGACAAAACTCACCTTCCTTGCTTTGAAGAAGCGTTTCAGGATAGATTTGCTTACTCTTCTGACAGGCTGTTGAATATTTTGTCTTCTCCCCCAGCCCTGTAGACAAAGGCATCACATCACTTCTTCCTTAGTCATTTTTCAGCTTCCACCTGCATATGAGGTACTTGAGAAGACCATTAACTCGAGTCTGGAGCACTTTATTCCTCCAGGTGACTTCTTTGCCTTGTGTTACTTAAGAGAGATTCTTTGCTTCCGTGGACATTACCTGTGGATCCAAATAGAACGAAATACTTGATAACGTTTATCATGCTCTTATTTACTGATGCCACTGCGAGGATTTTTGTTTTCTCTATGTTGAGATACAATCCATTCTTTCAGTGTTCTGGTGGCCTAGTGATAAGAAGTTGCACTGCCAACCCAAAAGCAGGCAGTTCAAATCCATCAGCTGCGTAGAAGGGAAAAGATGCACAGTCTCCTCCTATGCAATTTACAGCCTCTGGATACCCACTACAGTGTCAGCCTTGAGTGGATTCTAACTCAGTGGCACATAATAAACCATACTTTGCTGTTCATCAGTAAGTTCTTTAGGTCTTTTGAGTACCAAATTAGTCAGCACAGTTCCAGCATTTACCATTGATTCTCAGTTACATTTGTGTATATTTACAGTATAATAAATAAAGCCTTGCAAAATGATGTGTGCCTCTAGAACAAATAAGTCAATAATTACTAGCAAAGCTGCTGTAAATAAGAACATAGATAAGAATACTCCCTCATTGGTATTAAATCGAAATGACTCATAGCTGCCACTCCAGTGAGTTTTCTGAGTTTATAAATCTCCTGGAAGGAGATTGCCCTCTTTTTCCTGCAGAGCCACTGAGGGATCCTAACTGCCTGAGAGGCTCGGTCTTTGAGTTAGCAGACAACTCCCTGCCAGAACTGCCTTGGTTAGGAACAAAGGAAAGTTTATTTACTTTCCAAAGCTGATGGTTCTGGTTTTCTTCCTGTCAGTGTATAGATTATAATAATAGACAGAATTCTGTAATTCGTGGTACAAAGTAATAAGGCTTTAATTTTACTTTGTAGTTTATGGAAGCAAGAAAACAAAAGGGAGAAAAGACCAGGATACAAGCCCGGGAACTTAATTTTTGGACCAGATTGATTCAAGAGAGTCAAAATATTTATTTGGAAGTGTTTGAGACACTCTGGACTAAGCACATTCTGTCTTTTCCAGTTTACTTTAAACTTGTTTTATTGAAATTTATTATTGGTAAGCGACAGCAGTGGTGTGACTGCTCACCTTGCTGTGGAAGCTTGTCTGTTAACTTTCCTAGTATGTTGTTGTTATTCTGCTGCAGAAAGTTCTAGTGAGGGTATGAGATTTCCTGCTGTACAGCAGCACTCATTCCGTCTCTCGCTTTCTTCCAATCTTTTCATTGAGTGAAATGTTCTTGTTCTACAATAGCTCAGGTTCTCAAAGCTCATTTTGAGCAAAGACTCAAAGCTATTTTTTTGTTCACATTTTATAATAGTTTCTTCCACTTAAAGTGAGTAATAGTTTAACTCTTTTACAAATTGACTGTTTTCTCTGTTGACAGTGAAAATGATGTATCATTGACCTTGAGTTTTTAAGTTATCTAAATTATGTTTTGTTTTGGACTTTGTAGCCAGCCTCTCTCGATCAGCCTTCTTGTCTCAGCGATATTATGAAGACTTGGATGAACTCAGCTCAACATCATCCATTTCCCAATCTTTGGAAAGTGAAGATGCCCGAGTATCATGTAAAAATGAAGATGTGGGGGACCAAGTCCCTAGGCACGCCCCCGTGGCTCGCACATCGTCTGTCCAACTCAATACCTTGCCCCATACAACTCTTTTTGGTAAATCTCAGCTGAGTCATGGTTCTTCCCCTGGCGTGATAGGAACTTCAAGTAAGTAAAGAATGAGAAAGAAAATGGTATTTTCCCCCCTTTGGTAGAATTCTAATTATCGAAGAAACTGTAAGTACAGTAATATCATGAGAATAAAGTTGATGGTTTCATCCCATTTCTGCTAATATTAAAAGTGTAAACGACTTAATTCAGAAGATTTTCATTGAAAGAGGACAGATGAGAAAGAAGATATTGGAAGTTAATACATTTGCAAGGTTTCAGTGTTGAGTCTGTTCTGTACTTTAAAAACAGGTCTGTTTCAGAAGTGAAAGAAGGAGGCTATTTTAATTTGCCCTCAGTCTACAATAGCATCCACATATAAATCCTTGCTTCCTTTAGTCTTGATTGTAGCTGTGTTCTGTCACACAGTCCACCAACCATAGTGTTCCTTGCCAGAACTGTTTCATGGAAGTGGACTTGGATTATGCTGTTGTTTCTCCATGACAGAGTGTCACGTCCTGTCATGTGGGTGACTTCTAGCATAGAACAAATACTCAGGATTGTGACGACATATGAGAGTGAGTAGATTTTCTGAGAGGTGAGCAGACAATTGATCTATATTAACATCAGAGTTATATCCAGTATCAGAGGGAATGATCTTCCAGAGTTTTTTATCTACTAGTGGAAGTGGACCAGGGAATTGACCTTGGCATCTTTGAGAGATGCAGGTGCCAGTCTGTTGACTACTACTTTTCACCTTAATGCTTAAGAAGTTTTTATTTTCTGTATTTTGCCTGCACTAGATATGGATTATTTACTATTAATAACTTTTGTATATTCCTCCTCTCTGACTCACTCTCTCACTTAATCTTTCCTTTTCATTTAGTGTCTACATCTGCTAACAAAATTATCCCTCAAGGGGCTGACAGCACAATGCTTGCAACCAAAACCGTGAAGCATGGTGCGCCGAGTTCTTCCCACACCATCCCAGCTCCTCAGGCAGCTGCAGCAGCAGCTCTGAGACGGCAGATGGCCAGTCAGGCACCAGGTAAAAACTAGAGACTGTATATGAGCTGTCTTGGGCCAGGGTAACACACACAAAGCTAGTCCTTTCTCCTGCCTTTCAGAAGTGACTGATATGATAACACATTCTGCTTTTCAGAAGCAATGCTCCAAGAAGGGCAAGAACTAGGTCTGAAATGTTTTCCTAGTAAGGGGAGTTAGTGAGCTACTGCCTTAAGTTAAATGGTAAATATTTTTTATGAAGTTGATAATTACCAGTAATATTAGAATTATCTCTCCTATCTTTTTTAAAATTTCTTTTTTTTGTGATTTGTATAAAACTCAACGAAGCAAATTAATTTTTCATTCAACCATTCATTCACATTTTGTTGTATAACGTTAATTTTAATACTCACAGTATAATTGAACTTTCCCCTGTTCTTTATAATTCTGATTCCCATTAATCCGTCTATGCCTCTTTCTTTAGTGATACTGTACTGATCATCCTCTTACTCTATATTGCTTTCCCCCATTCTCACGTGGATCTTAGGGATCCCAACAACTCAGTGAGGTGGATATTAGTATGCCCATTTCCCTTTTTTTCCCATTTCACTTTTGAGTCACCTAAGGTCCAGAGCTCAAGTAACCCACCCAGGGTTACCTGACCAGTAGGTGGCAGAACCTAGACATCAACCCCATGCTCTTTGTATTGTAGGACAGGCAGCTTTTTCTTAAATGATTAAGTTGGATATTATAGAAGAATGCTCTAATGAACTAGTCAAAGCTAACATTTTATGCACAATCATGTTTATTGCTGTGTTTTTCACAATAGCAAAGAGATGGAAACAACCCAAGTGCCCATCCAGAAACGAATGGATAGAGAAATTGTGGTATATTCATACAATGTAATATTATGCAGCACCGAAAAACAAGGCACTCATAAAAAATATTATACAAAATGGGTGACCCTGGAGGACATTATGCTGAGTGAAATATCTCAGTCACAAAAGGATAAATACTCCGCAGTGCCACTGTTATAAGACAGAACTGACATGGAGGTTGGGAGGAAACTAAGAAAAAGGGGGATAAATAAGATATACTGCATTGAAACAAATGAAAGAACTTTAAAAGGAATATATGATTAGGAATATTTGCATGACAACAGTCCAGAATAAGAGCTGCATAGCAAAGTGGACTGGAGGAAGGGGGAAAGAAATGGTGCAACAATGAAAGTTGTTTTTTGGTTTTTTTCCAATAGAAAAGTGAACTAGAGGGAAAGTAAGGAGGAAAATGTGCAACAATGAGTGAATTGAAATTCAAGTTCTCTATAAACTTTCATTAAAATAAAAAATAAAAACTGGATTCCTCCAAAGGAAAGAAAACAGGAAAAAAACCCCAAACCCCAGCATTTTGTCAGTAGTTTGTAGTTATCTCACATATCCACATTAGGATTTATCAGTCTACATAGTTGAACTTAAATATTTCAGTTATCACTTGTTCAACATGTAAGAGCTAGTGATTTCAACCAGAGGTCATTTTACCTCTTTACCCTGCCATTGGAACACTTGACAAAGTAAACACTTCTGTTTGCCACAACTGAGTTGAGGCAGGGCATGGGGAGGAGGGAGTTGTAGATAGAAGCCAGGGATGCTGCAAAAAATCTTAAAGTATACAGCAAACATGTGATTTACCAGCTGAAAATGTCAATAATGCCAAGATTGAGAAATCTTAGTGTAAGTGAAATATTTCCCTTTTATTTTTCTCTTTCTCTATCATAGCTATAAAATCTGAACCAAGCTTATAACTGACAGCAGATATACAGAGTCTGTAAATCACGTAGGAAGAGATTGTCCATCTTTCTCTTTTAGAGCACTGGTGGATTAAATCTTAGTTCATTTTACACTTAGGAGTCTAAAGACATATCACAAACTATGCCACCAGAACTCCTTATCAATTTGGACAGATTTTTAGAAAGATGTGGTTTAGATGAGAGAAAAAGAAGAATTGACATTATATAGTGATAAAGAAAAGTTTATTATTAAATCACCTAAAGAATTATTAAAGATCAAAACAAATAAAGGTGCCTTTGAGCCTTCTGAAATGGAATCCTTTAGTGTTTTCTTTTAATTTTATATAGACTAAACAGAAGTCTTACATTGTGCTGAACAGGCCCAAAATAAAGCTGATGGAGTTAAAAAGTATTCCAGAATTTAAAATTGCTCTACTGTCAGCAAAAGGTAGTGTGATCTCTTACTATCATTTTGAAAGAAAAAGTTACAAAAGAGTAGGCACCTTTGAATGTGAAACCTGAGTTCTGCAGTCTTCAGTAAGATGTCCCTAGTCCTGTCGTGTAAAGGAGAGAATGAAAGAGTTAACCACAGACAGAACATTTTACTTGGTAATGTATGCTTCTACTTTTCCCAGAAGTATCCCAGAAGAGATCCGAGAGCATTGCTCTGACTTTTTTAATAGTTAATTATAAGATGTCATTAGCTCTTTTAGAATACATTTTAAATTGTGTTGTTAAACATAATTTGAAATGTGATATTTTAATATGTTGTTGTTGTTAAGTGCCATTGAGTTGTAGACAACTCATAGCGACCCTATGAATGAAAGACCTGAGCACTATTCATAGAGATTCCAGAGGCAAGCTGTTTCAGAAGTGGGTGCCACTCCTGCTTCCAAGCTTGTTTTAATCGGGAAGCTCCAGCAAACACTGTTCACCATGGGTAACTATTATCACATTTGGCACATGAGTGTCACAGTGTTTAGCATCACAGCAACCATGAGTTACCTTTGTATAGCAATGCACAGACGAGTGCTATACCACCTAGAAAAATGTTTGACAAAAAACAATTTAAGCCAGGCCCTAGGACCGCAGATTAAACTCACCCACCTTGGGCTTGGTAACTTAACTTTCTGTCCACTAGACCAACATAGCTCTCTCTATGTGATATTTTAATACATATATAACATTTTAAACTCTAGTGTTGTCATACATGGTGGCGTTGAGGTAGTAAATCATTTGGGAAGAGATTGTCCATCTTTCCCCTAGATTGTCCATCTTTCCCCTAGAGGGTAGCTGGTGAACTCACACTGCATACCTTTGATTTTGCAGCACAGCTTCTTACCACCAAGACACCCTATGAACCTGCATCATCCTCATGGTTTCTTTGTTGCCATTCCTTAATTCTGCCTCTTGGCTTTTTGCCTAAGCTCCATTTTCCACATTTTATTCAAGTGTCTGTCTCATGGGTGGTGGGTTCTTTGAGAGAATTCATTTGTACTCTTAGCACCTAGCCCAGAATTTGGCATATAATAGGCGCATGTGAAAGAGTAAATACATGAATGGTAAAAATTTCAAGTCTCTTGCTCTTCATTAGCCCTTTGCTTCCTTTTTCCAGGATGAGCCAGCATGTGATCCTCATACCTCTGCTTTAGAAAAGTTAGGCAGGGAATTCTTTTTCATGACACTGGTACATATGATTAAATTGGATGGAAGTTTATTCTGTTATTTCTTGTAAATGGATTGAGCCAGATGCTTTACTGAACACTGCTCTAGAACTACCTACAGTAGATTTCCTTTATGTAATAGGTTGTGAACTACCTGAGTTCATGGTCTGGTAATTCATTTATGTATAGCTAAGATTTCTGACCTTTAGTAGAATTAACATACTTCTCTTTCCTCTGTTAAAATAGCTGTAAACACCTTGACTGAATCCACTTTGAAGAATGTTCCTCAAGTGGTAAATGTGCAGGAATTGAAGAATAATCCTACAGCTCCCCCTGCAGTGATGGGGTATGTTACTATTTTCCAGTTGGTTTGGGTTTTGTGGGGGAAAAGAAAAAACAAAACAAAAAACCAAACAAACAAAAAAACAGTAAATGATACTGTAATAAGTCTGAGCTGCCTATAGGATGCAGCATTATTGCTGCCACAACGTAAAATTTTTTTAAATAAAGCCTGAGGTGTTAAAGAGAGATGTATAGTCAATCCTGTGTACACAATTTGGTGTATATGAGATTGCTTCTTCTGCTTGACGGTAGCAGTTGCTGCCTCGAAGTCTGTCTTCGTGATGTATGTTCAGTTTGCTCTTTGCCTAGTGTACATCTGCAGATTAAGGTTAAATCTGGGTGTATAGTTTTTGTTAGGTTGGGGCTTTTTTAATGCTTAGTGTTCCAGAGAACTTTTGAAAATCCCAAAGTATCAACTATTATAGACTTTTGATTCAGATAATTGAGTGATGATCTTGACATTGATTATCTTCTCCCTTGCTTCTATGCATTTCTCTTCTGGCAGGTTTCTTTTTGTATGAAAAAAAAAATCTTAGTAAAGACAGTGGCTAAGTTTAGAGACATACCCCCTCTACACTCCCCCGTCTCTCCCACCTTATCTCCAATCCAAGTATAAGGGCTAGATCCTTGTTACTGGACTACATTTGTCTTTAGTCCAAATATTCATTCACAGTTCAAAGTTCTATCCTCTTCTCCTTTTGCTGGGCAGCACAATTTATAGAATATACCTGTGCCCTATTTTGTTCTACACGTTTTAGAGCCATTATCTATTTAATTCAACCACCCTCTTGCAGCATTGGAAAAACTTGAGAAACCTTTCCTCAATTTGTGTATGGAGAGTGTGAAGACCATTGTCATTTAGAGAGTGAACGTATGTGGCCCTGATGAGTCTAGTGACTAGAATAGCAACCACAGACCTTGTGGATTTTCTGCAGTGTGCTAGCTCTCTGCTGCCCTACAGTGGGCCATTCATTTCTGTTTTCACATTATCAAGTGACTCTGCTTTGCAAGTGCACTGGTGGCCTCTCTTTTTTTTCTTTCATCTTGGTCCACTTATTACTGTGCTTGTTCCAGAAATGTGTCCTTCATCTCAGGGCCATCCTAACAGTGAAAACAATGAGCTGACTCACTTTGTGCCTTGATAGTGACCTTGGCGTCTTAGTATGCTTTTAGACCAGGATGGTATTTTGTGGTCATGGTGAACTTTTCAAGGGAAAGAACTATGTATTAGAGAGTTTTGGAATTTTACCAAATTCCTAGTACAAGGAATGCCAAGAAAAGCCACTGAAAGCCAGAATATTATATAAAATGGGAAAATCCAGCTTGTGGTGAAGGAAATCTAGGTTGGCATTTCTGAGCTATGTTAGCTGTTAGTCCATGCTTGAGGGCACCTCTGGGTTATTTCACTGGCCCTTTTCTCAGGCTTTGTTTCCGTAAATGGTTCATGTGAATTTATGTTAGAAGAGCAATTTCACTGGTTGATGGCTTTGTTCCTTTTATTAATTTCAACAACACCACAATTTAAAGATGCTGCCTTCAATTTTCAAAAGAATAACTATAGTAATATCTGTAAATGTTTTTAAAAACCTTAAATTCTTTCTTTAAAATTATTTTTATTTGAAAAGTTCCTTGTTTTGAAGATAAGAGGAAAACACAGATAGTTAAAATAAGAAAATTAAAAATTATTTGTTATCCCCATCACAAATACATATAATTACTACATTTAAAAGTTTTTTTATGAAAATTGGTTCTTTACGTAGAATTTTTCATGCTACTTTAACTTTTTAGTTTAATCATGAAAAATTTATATCATTAAAAATTCTTATAGAATCCTTTCATGTTTAATATAATGTTGTTTTTGTTGTTATGTGCTGTTGAGTTTCCTGCGACCTATAGCCACCCTCTGTAGAGCAGCTCTGAACCCTGCCCTGTCCTGAGCCAGTCTCACTAATTCTAACATACCAATCCCCATTGCCCCAGTTACTGTATCAATCCATCTCATCTCTGTTCTTCCTCTCCTGTGCTGTCCCTCCACCCTTCCAAGCATGATGTCCTTCTCCAAGGACTGGTCTCTCCTGGTCACATGCCCAAAATATGTGAGACGGAGCTTCAAAATCCTCACCTCCAAGGACAAACTTGGTTTCACCTCTTAAAGACAGACCCATTTGGTTTTATTGGTAGTACATGATACGTTCAAGACTCTTCTCCAGCACCACAATTTGAAGGCATCACTTCATCCCTAGTTATTACCCAGCAAGTAATTGGGAAGACCATGGCCTGGATTAGAAGCACCTTACTCTCTAGACTGACATTGTTTCTTTTCAGTACTCTAGAAAGGTCCCTGACAGCAGATTTTCCCAATGCAATTCGTCTTTTGATTTTCTGACTGCTGATGTTAAGAGTGTTGCTAGTATTTAATAGATCTTTTTTACAAATCTAGTACATTTTCTTGTTTTTACTTTCAAGTTGGAACTGACCCTCTGGCAGTTTTCAGAGTGAAAAAACTGCCTAGGAAGAGATTGTCCATCCTTCTACCGCAGAGCAGCTGGTGGATTTGAACCTTGTGCCCTCAGGATTGCAGTGTACCTTCTTGTCACTAAGCCACCAGTGATCCCTCATGTAAAAGTAGTAAAAATACACTTTATGCTTACTTTATTTGGTATCTAGACATTCATGTAGAGCTGAGTTTTATTTCACAGACTTTTAGGTAATATTTTGAATTTTGAAAGAAATAAAATTTTAAGGGAGCTCTGGTGGCCTAGTGGCAAGAAGCTATGCTGCAATCCCAAAGGTGGGCAGTTCAAATCCACCGAATGTTCTGCTGGAGAAGGAGGGCAATCTCCTTCTATGCTAGTAGGATCCAATTTGATGGTACACAACAATAAGCAAAGAAGGAGGGAGAATTAAAATTTTGCAGTAGAACATCAAATCTCAAAATTCTGTTCCTATTTAAAAAAAAATAATAATTCTGTCCCTATTGAGAAGAAACTCCAAGAAGGAATGAATTCTTTTTATTTTAAAGATTTGTTTGGGTTTTTTTTGTTTTCTCTTTCCTTGATTGTTCACTTTCCCCACTTTTGAACTTACTCATTGCACATTAACTAATAATAACTTTAGTTGCTTTCTCCATTTACATCCACCGCAACTGTCATATATGACTACATGAAGATAGCTCATAATTAGATTTATTAAAATAAAATACAACTGCATTCCTTTTTTTAAAACTTCTATAAAATGTGAAAATCAAGTAAAAGAACAAGTAGTTGACTCCTTTGACAAGAGTTGAATGAGTATTTGTTATTCTTAAAGTAAAAAAAGCACAAACGTACTTGCTATTAGAGCTCCTCTGGCTTATATTGACCTTCTGTCAGCTTTCTGAGACTTTTTTTAATGTTGTTTAAATTGGTTTTCACAGTTATTCACTTATATTATGTTTACATGTACATTGTATATTATACACTCATTGTATATACATTGTGTAAATACATTGCATTTTATGTTATTAAATACTATTGTTCTAGACCTATTATCCTATCTTTTCAAGTCCACAGTGAATTTTTTCTATTCTTTAACCACCTCCTCCTCCTTCTCCTTACGCATCCACCCACTAACCTCTGAGTTAAGGACAATATTTTATTGTGAAATATGGGGTAACTGAGCAAGATGTGTATAAATGTTCAAAAGGGGAAGGGGAAAGGAGAGGAAAGGGTTAGGAAAAGGAGAAGAGGAGACTGTAACTCATGATGGGAGGATATTGACCAGCCTTCTCCTATGGAACTGCTGGTGGAGTCGATCTGCTTGAGACATACAGCCTTTTGGTTAGCAGTATGCTGCGTACTATGCTGTGAAGAGTCTAAAAAGTTCATCAAGAATCGCAAAGAGTCTACATGACATCTTAACGCTTTATAATTCTAGTAAGTCAGATTTATAATGTGTTAAGAGTGCACATCCCTAGAACAGATGTGTGTTTATCTTCTGTCTCAACAGGTAATGTTGATAAAGTAGGGCAAAACAAAGGAAAAGCTTCTGGTGAGGCTTTAAAAGAAAACCAAATACTTGGTTGGACAATGGAGGAAAGGTGGTGTTTTTTATGCAATGTTGAGATTATGCCAAATGTTTGATAAGAGGAAGAACGTGTGTGTTTGTGGTTTTTTTGTTTTGTTTTGTGTTGTTTTTTTTAAGGGAAAGTATTTTCATTTAATTCCATTTATCTTAAGATATTAAGATTAATTTACTGTTTTTATTTTTTTTAAATGCCAAATACAAATTTGAACAATTTTTTCCAATTTCCCTCAAACCCCCCCATCAAATTGTACAACCCTCTTCCCCTTTCACATCCACATCCCTCTGCTTCCAGCCTCCCCCCCCCCCAGATCCTTATACTCATTCTACAATAATGGTTTTTATACAATATTTGTCCTTATGGGACTGAGTTAGTTCACTCAGCGTAATGCTCTCCAGTCCCTCCCAAGTTAGGTAATAATTTACAAAGTTATTGCTCCTGTGTGCTGCATAGTATTCCATTGTGTGCATGTACCATAATTTCTCAATCTGTTCGTTTGTGGTTGGACATTTGGGCTGTTTCCATGTTCTTGCGATGGTGAATAATGTTGCTGCAAACATTGGTGTACAAATCTCATTATGAGTTTTCACCAAGAAAGTGACTACACAATCTTTTGTTAAAGAGATTAAACCCTTGACTGATGGGAACAGAGAAAGTACAAAAAGAATGCCCTTGTTACATGTTCTAGTGCCATTTTCTACTTCCCCCCCACTTCTGTTATCAGCCTTGAACAGGGTGTGTCAGGGTGAATTTCTGATTTTCCGATGATGTCTCTCAGGTCCCTATCACTAGAAGGTCACTTAATCATCCAAAATATGACAATGCTGAATTTGGTTTTTCCATTTTCTCTTGAACATTTCTTACTACTTTTCACTTCTATAGTAAATCTTTGAATATCTTGTTTGGTAGTATAATGCTTTTTCCTGTTTTCAGCCTCGAATCATGGTAGAGAGTTCCTGTATCAAATTAGATCAGTTGGATTGCTGGCTGATTGCACTGAACACCATTTCTCTGCAGGGCTGTCCCGTGACCCAGTGTGTCAGTACTGTGAATCATAATCTTGTGTGTTTGGGGATATAGAATACCCAAGAGATAGAGAGCATTATCACAAGTAAATAGGATGGTAATTGTACTCAATTTCATTCATGCAGGATTTAATTTATCATCAAGACATACCTAAATTTGGGTCCTTCAGAGACGTTTAAATTTGGATAAATTGTAGCTTTCATTTTCTTTCTCATTTCTTCTGTTTGTCTTTGAAAAAGGATAAACTATTTTTATTTCCCTTGTGATTCTAACGAGTGCAAACATCTCTCTAGCCTGGTCGGCTGTGTCTGCTCAGGGATTTCTTAGGTTCGGCAGTTTTGCTCGCACATTCCTTTTCTCTGTCGGAGACTCAGCAGAGGTGCGAGAGGAGCATGGTACTTGTGTACTTGCATGGTAGAATTTCTCAGGGGGACAGTGTTATGTTTTCCAGAGAGATCCACAGTTACAGCTCCTTTTAGAGCTTCCATTAAAAAACAAACAAACAAAAAACCAACAAAAGGGCTTTTTCATTGAAAATAAATGCTTTTGTTTTTTTTCTTCTCAAAATCTGATAACCTGATTGGGAAGTTTCCTCTTAATGAGCAGAAAATTCTGACTTGGGACAAGTAATTTCTGACTCCTAGTGACCCTTCTTCAGGTTCTGAGGCTATACATTTTCATGAGAAGAAGTTCTTTCTCACATGGAGGCTGGTGGATTTGAACAACTGACTTCTCAGTGAGCAGCCCAGTATGTTCTGTTATGTGCCACCAGGGCTCCTTGAATTTCTTACAAAAATTATTAAATTGTTTGATAATTTTGTCTGACAGGACACATAGGCTTTCTTTGTCTTTTCTAGTCCAACTTAATTTTTAATGGAAAAATAAGAACTCTGCATAGAGTTCTGAAAACTGAGGGATCTCACATCAGCTGTCTCTGTACATACCAGTCAAAGCTGTGTCTGACTGAAGACTTTGAAAAGATAAGTTGATGGAAATAACTGTCCAGGAGCCAAGAATGATGCTGTTGCCTGTGATGGCATTAACAAGCGATTACTTAGGTTCTATTACTATACATAACAGAAAAAAAGAAAAAATTTAAAAGCTTCATCTCACATACTTTGGGCATGTTGCTAGGAGAAACTATTCCTTAGAGAAGAGTATCATTCTTGGAAAGATGGAGTTTCTGTGAAAAAGAAGACCCTCAACCAGATGGATTGACACAGTGACTGCAGCAGTGCGCTCAAGTATGTAAGAGATTGTGAAGATGGCACAAGATAAGACAGGATTTGAATTTGTTGTAGGGCTGCTATGAGTCGTACTTGATTTGACGTCACCTAACAACAACAACAATTCCTTGTATAGTATTTAGGGTTACCTGTATGGCATTTTATGTTTTGTTAATGAGAGGTAGTGAGAACTCATTCTACAGATAGCAGGTACACTTTTTATACTGTAGCAAAGGTGCAGGAAGTAAACAGAACGGTGATAAATTTGAATCTTTTGTATACTGCCCTGGTGAGCATGAAACCCTCCTGTCACAGCCCCAGGGGCAGTGGTGCAAGGGCTCACTGCTGGGAGAGGCTGGCGTCTCTTCAGCCAGCACTGTACCACACATGCATCCTCTAAGTCCCGTTGTTTCAGTCTTGGAAATGATCTTGTATATAGTGTGGAACTGGTAAGTCTTCAGATAAGATATTAGTCTTCAGATAAGATATTAGTCTTCAGATAAGAAAACTGCCTATTAAATATTCATTTATTCCCCCCTTAGGATTTAAGAGTAACAAATAAGCCTTAAGGTCACTACTTTATCTTTTGTGCTAATGCTACAAATCAATTAGAGAATTAAGTTCTTCATTTAGAGAACTCAAATGAGTTAAGGTCCCAAGTACTTGTTTTCTGCCCGGGGCAGAGAATTGGCGCACAGTGGGTACGATCTTTGCATAGTTATGCCTCTCACTGAGCACTTGCTTTGTGTCTTTTAGTTCTTCAGTGCCACACTCTGTAGCCAAAACGCCGCATCTGGTGTTGAACCCAATGACTTCTAACCAGCCCAAGCAGGTAACTTTTACTCATTTTTATTTTGTTAACAATCATCCAGTGTCTGTCTTTCTGACTGAAAATAACACTGCTTTAGTCCGGATTTTGTATAATTGAGTTATAATTCTGACAATTTGTTGTATTTCTTTTCCCCTCGGCTCCATCATACCATGTTGGTGTTCAGGGAGTGCATTATCTTGTTTTCTTCTGCAGTTTTGTTTTTCAGAGCTCACGTATTTTTTAGGGATATTAGTTATGTCTAACTTCAGGCTTTTGCTTGATAAATATCACTTACAAAATTTGTTTTGTAGTAAACAGTTAAACAATCCAGAAGAAAATAATAAGTGATAATCAAGCTACCTACTACCTTTGAAACTTTTCCTTAGAAAACATGATTTCTGTGCTGCTGTTAGATCTGTCTCTGAGAGGAGTAGCCTTAGATTGTGTTTGAGATGAAAAATCAGGACTTTCCCATTATGAGTCCTTAAGTAATGACTCTGCTTTTCTTAGTTTGCTATAGCTTAAAATGACATTGAAGCATTTAACATTTGCTAATTCTTTGGGAGGTGTTTATGTTCATCACAGAGGACACATGCTAAGGTATAAATCTTAAAAGAATGAAAGGACACTGAATGGACATTATTCAGTGAACATGGTGGTTTTTTTTCTTCTTTTGGTGATTATAAATAAAAATGTTTGTGTGTTTGCTCGTATTAAACTACCATTTCACATGTTCCTGTATTAGAAAGGATGATTAGTTGTGTAATAGAAATACTTTCTTATATTCTGTTATAGGGGGCACTAATAAATTCCCTAAAGTCTTCTACACCCACACCAGCATCCAGTCCATTATCATCTGGTGACAAAGCTTCAGGTCAGTTTGCATTTTTGTTTCAGAGAAAATAAAGGTAAAAGAAGAACTCTTCAATCAGTTTTATTGCTCTAGATCAAAGAGACAGTTGACATAGGACATCAAGTAAAATGGTTACGTTCAAAGGGCCTCAGCTGATGAAGTCTCCAGGAAATTAGCAATCCTTTCAACAACTGTGTAGAAAACTATATTTGAAAATCTTTCCAAGCAGTGAGTGAATACATTAATTTAAATGCTTGAAAACAGTAACAACTGTATTGTTTTCTCCTGGCTTGCTAAGCATTGAGGGTTTCCAGGAGGAACATATCAAAAAGTTTGCTTAGAAAAAGAATCCATTTGATTCATAGTGACAATTTAAAAGCCAATAAATGGCCAAGTAAGAAAGTTGCAATGTAAGAATGGATAAGATAAATCAAATGAGAAGATTTTGTAATTTACACTGAACACTAACTCCGGCATAATTATTCTTACATGCCTTATTTTTTTAATAATCATCATAGTTGTTTAAGCCAGGCATCCACTTTACTCAAGTTAATGTGAAGTAAATCAGTGCTTTTATGTAAAACTTAATTTTGATGTGCATCCTCAGTGTTGCCTTTCATAGACTTTTTTCATAGGTCGCCTTATTTAGCATGCATTTCCTTCTGTATCAAGGATCTTGTGTCATCTTCAGTATACTATTTTTTTCTCAAGACATAAGATAAATTTAATGAACTGGTAATTACAATAATGCTATCAGCAACAGCATTATAATAGTGTTTTTAGTATCTATAAAAGCATCCAGTTACCTCGTAATTCAAGTACTTTTAAGTGCAAACCTTTGTGACACTGGCTACACTCTTTTTGTGTTGTGGGTTTTAATTTTTAATTATACTTTTTTATTTACAAAATTTTAATATATTGTTTTTTACACCAGTTCCTTCCCATTTCCCTAGCCCCCCTACCCCCTGCTTCAGTATACTATTTTGTAACCATATTTTGAACTCTTAGCTTTCTTTTGGATTCCTGCTCTCAGGTAGATCTTCAGCAAAATTGTGTTTCATACCTTGGACTTCACACATTAACAGCCTTCTTTGCATAATCTCTACCCAGAAATAAAGGCATCCCAATTTCCTGTATAATTAGGAGCTTTCTGCATGCATATTGGCCTTCTCCTCAGTAAATAGTCAGGAGAAAAACATTCCTTGGTAAGCCAAGTAGACATATTGTGAAATTGCCAAAGACTTTAGAATAATTTAGAATTAAATGAATAAATTTGCTTTCATTCTGATGCCTCTTAGATTAGAGAATCTTTTGCCACTTTTCAAGTGTTTAAGTAAGTCAGGAAAACCCAAGGGATTTTGTTTCATTTCATACATGCCTTATGTAATTCGTGTGACTTGCAGAAAAATTTCTGAGATTTATTACTCAATGATGATCATGAAATATCCTTTTACATCTGTATTTAGTTGCTGGAAATTCCAGATTTAAAGAACTTAATTTGGTAGGAAATTTTCCTTTAAAAAATATTTTCTCTATATACCAATTTGTAGTTTGTCCTTATCTGCCACTTAAAATAAAGACCATGTTTCCCTTTCCAAGACTAATATAAATCTACCTTGTACCTTCTTGGTTGTGGGGAGTTCTGATGACCTGTGTAGCAATCTGTGTTGCCAATCCAAGGGCCCAAAGTTTTAAATCACCAGCTCCTCTGCAGAAGAAAGATGGACAATCTCCTGTGTAATATACTGCCTCTAAAAACCTGCTGGATGGTCAGTTAGGGGTTGGTTCCAATGGAAGAGAAGCAAACAGCAGCAGCATCAGTTATAATGGTTGCTTATGACTTCCACTGTGTGAATGCACCTTGCTAAATTTTACCAGTACTCTACCAATAGATTGACATTGTTTCATTTTCATTATTATAAGAAATACTTAATTCATGAACATTCATGTACACATTATGTTGTGTTATAGTAGTTTTTTAAAAATCTTTTTTACTAATATATACCCCATCCATGTTTAAAGAGAAAGTTCATTTTGTTGTGGTTTGGTTTGATTAGATTTTTCTATATCATTTCCTGGTCCTGCCCTCATTGTAGATCAAAAGGACAAATGTTAAAAGAGCATACTCCAAATGATTAAAAGTAGTTGTAGTGAAATTTATTATGGAGAAGATGATGGATTATATTTTTAACTTTCTGCATATCTTTATTTGAGATCAGTTCTGTAATTTTTAAAAAGAGAACTGTTATTTAGGAACTACTTAACATCTACTAGGGAAAACAGAAATATTTGTTGTTACTAACTGTTCTGAGTCAGAACTGACCCATAGCTGATCCTTCAGTGGATTTTTAGAGGCAGTAAATTGCACAGGAGGAAACTGCCTGTCTTTCTCCCTCTGAGCGATTTGTGGGTTCAAACTGTATGTCTTTGGTTTGGCAGAGACTATAAAAACACAAGAGTATATTGTCCCATCTTTCTTCTGGATTCGAACCACTTGCCTTTAGGTTAGCAGCACAACTCCTTATCACTTGGCGATCAGAGCTCCACTAACTATATAAAATCTTTTAGGGAAAATGCAAACATATAGAGAAAGCATATAATTAACCATTAAGCCATTGCTTAGATATTTAGCATCTGAGCCCATTTCGCTGTTGAATTATTTCCTTCAGTATTTATTAATTTTCATTAACTATAAAATATATTATTATATCTATATTGTTGTTGTTGTTATGTGCCATCGAGTCATTTGCGACTCATAGCGACCCTATGTACAAGAGCTCTAAATGCTGTTCTATCCTGTGCCAACCTAGCCATCTCAAACGCACTTATTCCCATATTATGAATATATATCCTATTCATGTATTTAACCTACATTGAATATAAACTAACTTGTATTTTCTCTCTTTTTTTTAAACGATTTTATTATTTTTTGTGCATGTACAGTCAAATCGGATCTGACTGATACAGGAGATTGCCCCTCCTTCTCCAGCAGAGCATCTGGTGGATTCGAACTGTGTACCTATGGGATTGCAGTGCAGCTTCTTACCACTAGGCCACCAGAGCTCCCTTAACTAACTTGTATTTTAAGCATTTTTCTGCACTTTTCAAGCTTAGACGAATATACTTTTTTTAAAATTGGTTTGTTTACAAAGCTCATATACGTTGTTTTTCACACATTTATGTTGTGTTTCATACAGTCATTCTTATGCGTTATAAAATTAATCACCTTTGGACCTTGCCCACCATTACCCTGTCTTTTCACCTGGATCCTTCTTCCCATGTCTTGACCCCCCCTTTACACCCCTTCCACCCATCAAACTGGGCAACGTGTGGTTTCACCTCTACCCATCCTCAGTCCTCCCTTCCTTGAGTTTTACTAGTTATCCTTCTATTTTTATAATAATGGTCTTGTGCAGTATTTACCCTTATGAGACTATGTTAGTTCACTCAGCTAGAAGAATACACTTTTAAAGCTTTAACCTGCGCTAGAATTATTTGTATTTTTTTTCTGGAAAAGAGAGTTAAGGATGTGTTATGTTGGAATTAACATGGACAGAACCAAAGAGGAAACTTAGAGAGCTTGAACACAAGTCAGGTACCTCGCTCACTCCCCATGATCCCTGATTAATATAGAATGCACATGAAGTGCACAAAGCTGAAGCTCACCCCCTTAATTTGTACCACACAGGCCGTACTCATTTGAGTAGTGTTTCTTACTGACTTTTTTAATGGTTTTATTTGTTTCAGTGATTTCAGGGTCAGGGGCAGCCAGGATGGAAACAGCTGTGACATCTACCCCGTCTGCTGTTGGACAGTTCAACAAGCCTTTTTCATTTTCTTCATCAGGGTGAGTAATAAATTCTGAGGATAGCCTACCAGCAACTTTTTCAGAGTGCTTCCCCAAATCTTATAATTAGTAAGACTTTTTTGTTATTGTTTTGTTTTCCATTTTTACTATTGAGTCAAACAAGTTCTGCACTGTTTGCAAAGTTATTTTTGGGCTTAAAAAGGTACTTTCCTCCCTTCCCCACCTTCCCACCCAAGTTTTTCGTGATATCTGTATTCTCACCATTCAATATTGGATGCCATAGGCAGACAGAAAGTAGAAAGAAGCAGCTTTTCTCTTGCATCTATGGTGAAAGCCTTAGGAGGCAGGCATTAACTGTTCTAGGTCTGTCAAGTAGACACATAAACAGAAATATTTATGCTTATTTAATGTACATGGGCCCAAATTTCTTATGTTGCATTAATACATCTAATGACTGTGACAGTATCTTAACGTCCTAACATAAATTTGTTTTCCGTTTGAGATTCAAGTGACTATGTATTTATTTTGTTTTGGGGGATAAGCTTCTTTTCTTTGAGGAACTGGTCTGTGTTAACTTCCGAAGTTAATCTAGTTTATCATATTAAATTTTCATCCTGGCACTATTTAGTAGCTGTGACATTTGAATTGGCTTTACAACAGTGAGAATTCAATATATGAAGTTCCTTTGTTGGAGGTGTTGAAAGACAAGAGGAGCCACTTAAACATTCATGTTTCATGTGGATATCAGGAAATCTGTTTCTGTTGCCCTTTAGGTGATGATGACTTTATTTGTAAAATTTAAGAATCATTTCTAAAAATGAAAAAATCTTCTTAACCCACATTTAAAGTGAGCTTTACTTTAACCTTGACTTGAGTATGCCTTTTCTCTGAAGGCCAGTTTCTCAGGGTGCTATAACAGGCCTTTAAAGCCATTCATTTGAAATCCTGTGAAAATTCCTGAAGTGTTCTTTCCCCTATACTAATGGAGTAAAACTCTGCATAACTGAGAATAAAACTTTTCAAAAGAGTGGTTTGGGGTTTTTTTTAACCATTAAAGGCTGTGTGTTCACTGCCATTAGAAATACTTAAGCACTTTCAGTTTATGTTTTTGTAATTGAGATCACATTAGCCACAGTCTTTTTTGCGCCCTCTGATTTTAATATGTTTTTAAAATTTTCTTTACCTTAACACATTGGAAGAAAAGAATGTTAGAAAGTAATTTAAAGGGAGCTCTGGTGGCCTAATGGCAAGAAGCTGCACTGCAATCCCAGATTGTTCAAATCCACCAGATGCTCTGCTGGAGAAGAAGGGATAATCTCTTCCTGTACCATTCAGATCCGATTTGACAGTACACACACACAAAAAATAACAAAATAAAAACATTTTTAAAAAATAAGTAATTTAAGGGAGCAAATTGTGTATTCTCTTTTTTGCATTATAAATAATTTTATATATACACATATACACTTGCCAGAGGTAGTTTGAAGCAAATTTAGAGTATGTCAGTGCCAAGAGTTAATACATACTTACTCTTCATTTTTTAAAAATTAAACTTAAGACTGCCCCCACTGCGGGTCCCAGCAGCACGGCAGCAGGCGGAGAGGTAGTGCCAGAGCAGCCCAGCTTCTCGAAGGCTCTGTGCGCACAGCAGCCCACAGGCACCCGGCAGGAGCTCTCCCTGCCGCCAGCATGCCCAAGAGGAAGGTCAGCTCAGCTGAAGGTGCGATGGAAGAGTCCAAGAGGAGATCAGAGAGGCTGTCAGCTAAGCCGCCTGCAAAAGTAGAAACAAAGCCCAAAAATGCAGCAGGAAAGGAGTAGTCTTCTGGCAAAAAAGTGCAAACAAAAGGGAAAAGGGGAGCAAAGAGAAAACAGGCAGAAGTACCTAACCAAGAAAGTAAAGATTTACCTGCAGAAAATAGAGAAACTAAAAATGAAGAGAGTCCAGCCTCTCATGAAGCAGGAGAAAAAGAAGCCAAGTCTGATTAATATTTGTCTACCATGTCTTATCAGTGGTCCCTGTATCTCCTTTCTTGTACAATCCAGAGGAATATTTTTATCAACTATTTTGTAAATGCAAGTTTTTTAGTAGCTCTAGAAAGGAGGAAATCCCACTTCATCCCATTTTTAAGTGTAAATGCTTTTATTTAAGAGGTGAGATCATTTGCTGGTTGTTTATTTTTTGGTACAACCAGAAAATATGGGATGTTAAAATTGTGGGGGAGCTTTGGATGCCATTATGACATTCCATGGGGAAAGGGGACAGTTTTTATATCCCATAATACATAGTATACTTAATGACAATTTAGAGTCATAGTCATGCATTTATGACTTGAACATTTTAAATTAAGTCTATTTTCCATGTTTTCTAGATACTTAAATTAGAACATTGTTTAGTAAAATTTCTTCTTAAACATAACCACTCCCTTTTCATGGCTTTCTCCCTGTCAGAACTATGTGGATTCTGTAACATCTTTGGTCTTGGTAGTCCAGTTTTCCTAGTAACTTTGTTGTATGCTGTGAACAGTTGAAAATTTGAACGTGTAGTGCATGTGATAGTAAACTGTGAATTAGTGGGACTTAATGATGTGACAGTTTATCAACAATTGAAGATATTGGTACTTATTTTCTTCTTTATGAAAACTTTCCTCCAAATTTAAAGCCAGAAGGTCACTGGAATTTAGAAAAGAATTATAACTACATGGCTTTTTAGATTTTTGGTACATGCATTAATAATTGTGTATAGGTTGTTCGTAATGTCTCTGTACTGGCCCTTAAAACAATCAATAAAATATAAATCATGAAAAAAAATTAAACTTAAAAGATTTGAGTTATTAGGTCAATGATTTAAATAGTTTAAGACCTACTGCTGAAAGGAAACTAATTTTTATTATGCTAACATGTGTAACACATCTTCCAGATGGTCTTTTTCCATTTGAGGAAAAGAATGATGAGTAGAAAATATGAATTTTTATATAACTTAGTGGATTTGACTAAGTAACAATTGATTCCTTATATTTAAACACTTTATTTAATTTTAAATTTGTTTTCTAAACTTTTATCCCATTGAATAATCTATTCCAGTTCACAGGTATGGTGAATTTTCGCTTAGACTTTAGGTCTTTACCACAAAATAAAGAAAATAAAGAGAAGAGAGGAGATGATGAGAGGAATGAGGAGTGTGTTTTAATTAACTTTTCCCAGCCTAGAGCTAAGAGTTCTGTCAAAATGCTAGAGTCAGTGGCTTCTGTTTTGTGCTATTCATCATCTCCCTTGTTAGTATGGGACTTCTGTGACATGTTCTTCCTTCTTAGTGTGGGCTAGGAGTTTTCATCCTAATCCAGTGCTTCCTGTGTTGCCAGACTTTTCTTCAACTGCTTCACTAAGCAGATCATCTGCTTGAGGCAGCGCTTCAAAGTACACATTTTTGCTTTACTTAGAATAGCTCCCTGCCCAAACCTCTGGATAGGTAGACATCTCCAAGGCTTTCTCTGCTGCTACTGCCTTTTACCTTATCTACAAATTGCCTTTCCCTGCTTACAAATCTTGGAACATTTACAATTTCTTTGATGTATTTTACTCTATTGTTCATCTTATATATTGTAAACTCCTCAAGAACAGATTGAATGAATTATAAAAGGGAGAATTAGAAGGCACTATTGTGTCTTAGATGTATTCCTTTTTTAAAAAAAATTTATGATACTTCACCAAAGAAGACATTCAGATGGCCAACAAGCACATGAAGAAATGTTCAAAATCCCTAGCTCTAAGAGAGATGCAAATCAAAACAACTAT